TAAAGACCAAATAATAATATGGGAGGATTAGGATTTCTAGGATTTCTAGTCAAATCTGGTTACGAGAAATTTTGACTAAAATTAAGAGCTTAATGCATTTTAATCTAATAACATCATAAAACTAAAATGCAATAAAAATCTCAATTTTGTTAAAAAATTCCTAACTTAACAATCAACCCATATCACTCGAAAATGTAAAAAAATTTACCATATCGTGATTGGCTAGAATAGTTGAGAATGATGAGAATATAAAGTACTAACATAAATTATTTACTAGAGCATTAAATATCACGAAATTATTCTAATCAATTCCACCGTTTCTAAAATTCCATGTAATATCTGATTCATCTAATTCCGAATCATATATTTAATAATAAACCGTTAATGGACCATATAATTGTAAGAGGTCAAAGCGAACAATAATAATATTTTGTAAACTTGAAGGATCGAAACCGTATCACGTTTTTCTTTAAACATTTTTCTTTACCACATATCCAAATTTCAATTTACCCGAGCTTGAATTCGGTAAAATTATTACTTCTTTTGAGGTTTCTGATATAATAACAAAAAACTCGTCATAAAAATGTTCCATTGCTTACGTCAATATATGGAGCTTCGTGAATAGAAACGCACCATCTTATTCATCTTAACAATTTTATGTTATATGATGCATTTCTATTGACGAAGCCCCATATTATGACTTTTTCCATAATGAAAATACGCATGGTAGAATTAAGGCATGGAACAAAGTGTGTATATATTCCTAACGCATTATATAGGAAAATGTGCTAGTAAATAAATCATTGTTCTCTTCAACTATAACATTTTCTTCTCCAAGATTATGTTAAAAACTACAACTTTTAAATCGATTTATTATTATTATTATTATTATTATTATTTTATGTATTACAGAAATTAAATAAAATAAATAGAATTTGTCTTAGGTCATGAGGCCTCAAACCTAGGAGATTTTATAATTTAAAATATAAAAAAGTCACCAAATAATTTCATAAAATAAATTATTAACTTCATATTTTATCAACATAAATATAATTCATCTGATTTATCACACATCATCTTCCTCATCATCATCATCTTCCTCCTCATCCTCATCATCATCATCCTCATCATCATTTTCATGTTGGGTTTGAAGTACCATTTCATATTCGTCATCAGAGACGTCTTCTTCTATGGATTCATATGCATCCTCATATTCAGGTGGAGGAGGAATCATCGAAGCGATCACGTAGTCTGGAGGTTGATCAATAGAAGTGTAAAGGGGAGCTTGTTGTCTCGGTTTACAAGATTTTGTTGTGATTATGATTGGAATTTCGAAATGTAAGTGAGACTTTACAATTTTATTTTGAGAGGAATTATTAAGAATTGTTTTTATGGAAAAAGTTCTTGAATTTCTATTATTAGGTAATAAAGAAGAATTTCGATATGTTCTTCTTCTTCCTTCACCCCTTTCTAGATTTCTTGTAGAAGTTGGAACAGAATATCGACGGCTTCCCTGAGCAGAAGAAGTTATTGTGGATGCGTTCACACTTGAAGCGTTTTCCGTTTCAGCAGAAATTGTCTCCGTGACGCAGATATTATATGTTAATTTATGATGAACGTTAATTAATGGGGAATCTATATCAGAACTAACCCATGGACATAAACGAAAATTGATTCTAATCGGATCCGAACCAGCGTGAAAGAATGAGTCGATAGGAACTTTCTTCTTGCCAAGTGGGTAACGATCTTCGTCAACGTCTGCCAAGATGGTCAGATCTTGTTCACCTGTTGTATGATAATGAATTCGCTCTTTTAATCCATATTCAACAGCTTCAATGACCGTATCAGAATTCATGTGTTTTAATGTTAATTCGGTTTGGACTAAACCGCCTTCACGATATGCTATGATAGGGGTATTAATTTGATAACTGATTCGGCCATCCAGAACTCCTTCAGTAAATGTTGAATTATGTGACAACATTTCATCCATCAGACATCGTTTGATATATATAGGTTTCTTTACTAATATATCGTTACGAAATAATGGTCTCGCAAGGATTGCGGAACAAGAATATTCGATTTTTCCACGTGATCCCTGAAACGAAGATGGTAAATTTCCGGGTAGATCGAATTCAAAAAAATATTCATGTGTACCGGCATGGATTTTCCTGTTTGTTGTTTCCGACTTATGAAATACGCACTGTTTCCGAAATATCGTTTGAGATTCACTAACTTTAAAAAACACAAAATTGATTAATAATGAAGAATGCAATGATGCGAATCGAGAAAACGACTATTTTTATTTACATTCTGGTCTATTAGAAGACATAGGAGGTCCACATGAAACGGAAGTCTTGCCAAGGAATACAAACAATAAATGCTTTACCGGAAGCGAATTTTTGTTTTTAAGAATGACTTTTCCCTTGAGTTTACATCCGTATGATTCTTCTGGGAGACCATACATTATACCATTAAAATCATCATCCAGTGAGATTTCTAATGTAACATTTTTCTGTTTACTAAACATTGTCTTATATTAATGATAAAAAAAATAAAATCGATATATTTTAAAGTGAATTTTTTTTAAAAAAAAAAAAAAAATGAAAGAAAAAAAAAAAAAAAGCAACCTTGTTAAAAAAAACTCAAAATTCCATTTAAAAATTAAAAGACGGGCATAAAAAATTACTAAAAATATATTAAAAAAATGAGAAACTGCAATTTAAGAACGATCAAGAAATGCATCAAATGTAAAATGCGGTTTATATTCCATTATTTCCATATTCGATCTCATAACTAGTCAATAAATGGGTAGGGTATGCTAAAAAAATTCCCGATATTGCATTACATAGAATTCGGAGATGCCATATATACCATATTCTTGACATTTGAAAAATTAGTAATTAATGATAGGATTTTAATTTTGCCGATTGTAGATCATACTATTCATACTATTCATATGACAATGAATGATCACAGGATAAGTCTATAAACTTGTACAACCCATTGTACAAGACGACTTTTTGAACGGTCTTACAAACGAGACATTTTTTAAGACTGACCGGGGTCTTCCTCTTTCCTTTCTCTAAAGTGGGGTTTTTTCTTTCTTTCTTTCTTTTAGATCCTATAATCATCGAATAGATATAATAGATAATAATAATGTTGTTAGTCATTCCTTTGTTACTCATAATTCCTGTGATAATTTTTTATCGAAGAACCAACCTTTTCTATAGTTTCTTGTTGTTGATCTTACAATTTTTGTACTCGTTTTATAAATTATGTCTTTCAATACCTTTAATCTTATTAAGAAGACGCGTACCAACGTCTGC